CCAGAGGGTTCTCAGAAACAGGACTGTTCACCTTAAGACTGTGCTCTCCCTGGCTGAAAAATGGGGGAGGAAATAGGATGGACACATGGGGCCTGGAGGGAGGGGGTGGCTTTATGGGCAGAGAAGACTGGTCCCAGCAAGGAAGAAACAGGATACCTAATTGATGTGCTCTTCCTTGGTATGAGGTGAAAACTAGAAAAATCAACAGCCAGGAAAGGCCTGAGAGCCAAAGTGGAAAGCCTACAGGAATGACATTTTGGTATATCCATGCAGGAATAGGGTGGGTGAATGAGTGAGTCTGGGCCTTTTTTTCCAAGGGCCCTTCTGCCTGCCCCCTATGTGACTTTCCTTCCTAGGAGGACCCAAGCCACAGCTGAGATCACCAGTGGAGAATCCCTGTCAGCCAACATTGAGTGGAARCTGACCCTATGGACCACCTGCAGCCTCTCCAAGGATAGTTATGGAGGATGGCAGGACTTGGTATGCCTGGGAGGCAGTCGTGCCCAGGAGCAGGTAAGTCAGGTGGGGCCACATATATGCCTTGTCTTAAAAATCCTGTGGCCGCTCCTTGCCTTGATGACAAGGATAGCCCTTCTTACCTCACAGGGCTTATGTGTTTAGTGACATGGTACTGTGGGCTTTCAGTGACACATCTGGCCCAGGGACATGTGTAGTTAATTTAGCTCTTGCCGTGATCATCTTCTCCTACCAGGTAGCCTTCCTTGGCTTTCCATTATCTTCATAACAAAGTTCTGACTCCTTAGCCTGGATTTCGTAGCCCTCATCACTTATCTGTTTTTTGAGTCTTCTGTTTATGCTATGGCTACACTGTGCCAGTCACTGAGCTCCTGCCTCTGGGGCTTGTCCATGCTTGACCTTAGGCATTGATACCCTTTTTCTTCATCTTCATATGTCTGGCAGAACCTTCCCAGCTCATCTTGCCTGCCTGCTTGAGAAAGCTCTTTACACTCTCTGTTCAGCCACAGCTGTGCTTTGCCAACCTTTTACAGGCTTTTAGGACAACCCATAACATACACACACGTGTTGGGGAGCATGTGTTTCTCCTGGTGGCCAGTTTTGCCTCTCAATTTCCTGATATTTGGTATTCTCTTGGATTGGGGGTATAGTTCAGTAGTAGAGTACTTGCCTAGCATGCCCAAGGCTCTGGATCCAAGTCCCAGAACTGCAAAAAGAAAGTATATCCTCTCCTTAAACATATCTGGAGCCCCTGCTTAGTGTGTGCACACTAAGTAGCTTCAAGTCAAATAGGCTTGGATTCAAATTTTGGCTCCAAAACCTTAGCTGAGTGATTACAGACCTAGTATTTAACATCTCTGGGCTCATGTTCCTCATTTGGGAACACGACAGTATACTGTTGATTTTTCAACTTTGGCCATACTGTTTTTATGGGGTGTGCCCATTATAAGTGTTGGGTGGCCATGGCAATTGGGGTGTCAAGGGTAACTGGTCAGACATTTCAGCTTGCTAGCCTGATGGGCTATTCTGTAGTGGCCACTCAGCAAATCCTGCCACATGTCAGTCTGTCTCGGCATAGTATGGGACACAGAACTAGGCAGGTCCAACTCTGGGCTTGTAGGGCCCAGTCCTGGAGGCAGATATGCCASAGATGCTCTGTCAGATGTCTCTGCTGGGATGCCATGCTGGCAGTAGCATAGGACCTTCCAGGTCATAGCAAGGTCACCTGAGCTCAACTTAGGGAGCTTTAGGAGAGCTTCCTGGATCAGGTGCCAGCACCCCACTGCAAATGGAGAGGAGAGATAGGCAGGCTCACAAATACCACTTGGTAGTATTCCCCAGAGTGCCCTTGTCTCAAGCAAGAACATCTCATGGCATTAGTAGCCCCCAACCTGGTCTAGAGTGATGGCCTTTAACYATCAAATTACTTCTTAGCTCCTCTCCTCTGCCATGGTGGAAGTTTAACTTCAACATTGGTTGGGAAAGAACATGAAGGCACAGAGCTGCTAGGAATGCCAACAGCTTTTAAATGAATGTTTATTAATAAGAACACATATCCAGGCTGTGTGAAATAGCATGCCTGCATGGAAGAGAATGATGTCTTACTCTGCCACATCATTTCCTGAGCCAGCTTCTCAGTGATCAAAGACTAGTAGCCAAGTGGTAGAAGCTAAATTAAGGTCAATGTTCTTCCCCCAGCAGGTTTTATAGTGGTCTTTCAGTCATGTTTCCCAGCACATTCATTCCATGACTAGGAGAGGCACTGAGGATATAGGGTGACCATGTCAGAAGTGGTTCCTCCTACCAACAGGAGCTTGTGGACCACTGAGGGCAGCAGCAAGGAAACACATGATTAAAGTGACATGAGGAAAGGGCGGAGCAGGTGGAGACCAGAAGGGAATATCACCCCAGTGGTGCAAGAAATGGGGTCCAGCTAGGCGCAGTGATATACCCTATAATCCCAGTGGCTCAGGAGGCAGAGGCAGGAGGATTGCAAGTTCAAAGCCAGCCTCAGCAACTTAGTGAGGCCCTAAGCAACTCAGCGAAATCCTGTCTCAAAATAAAAAAGGGCTGGGGATGTGGCTCAGTGGGTAAGCACCCCTGGGTTCATTCCCTGGTATCCTCCACCCCCTCAAAAAAGAAAAGGGGTCCAAAGGCACACTATTACAGGGGAGGGGTAAGGAAGAATAGTTTCTGAGAGAGGGAGCAGTACATGTGTGGAAGGGCACAAACATGGAAGGAGYGAGGAGTATGGAACAAGGAGAGAGGCAGTGGGTAAAGGAGGGAAACTGTGCTATGGGGTCAAGTTTGCAGGTGAGATCCCCTGTCTGTGGGTGGGAAATGGGTGGGCAAGGTTGAGGACCAAAAGGTCATGGGATGGAGGAGGGGTGCATGAGACTTCTAGGAGAGCAAAGCAACAAAGCTCTGGGGCTGGCTTCAAGATTGTGCGTGTGAATGTTCAGCCTGGATGGAGGGGAGTGAGAGATGGCAGTGCCTGAGAAAGCAGTCCAGGAGGATGTGCAAGATGAGAATGGGTAGAACGATGCTGGGGACAGATATGGCTTTCCTTGCAACTGGGTGAAGCAAACATAGCTAGAGGCAGATCCTGAGGATCATCCAGGTAGGAGGGATGGAGGCTTCAGAAGAGGAAGCCAGGAGCCTGGGGGGACACAAAGGCCTCCAGGGCATGTCACCTGGCTGGTCTCTGGCCGTGGATATTCCTAGGGAAGAGTGTGGGGGCAGCTCCAGCGCCCTTGACACCCACCTCCCTCCCCAGAAGCCTCTGCAGCAGCTGTGGAATGCCATTCTGCTAGTGGCCATGCTCCTGTGCACAGGTCTTGTGGTCCAGGCCCAGCGACAGGCATCTCGGCAGAGCCAACAGGAGCCCAGTGGCCAGGTGGGAGCCAGACTGAGGGAGCCCTGGTGCCCACAGACCTTGGGCCTGCAAGACTGTGGTTGTCCTCTCCTGACAGGTGGACCTGTTCAAGCGGCGTATAGTGCGGAGACTRGCATCCCTTAAGACCCGGCGCTGCCGTCTCAGCAGGATAGCGCAGGGCCACCCAGAGCTGGTCACTGAGACCTGTGCTGTGTGTCTAGACTACTTCTGCAACAAACAGGTAAGTGCCCTGGGCAGGATCAGCTGAACTTCCTTCCTCTACCATATTCCTGAGAGACCTGGAACCACCCCAACCAGGTCTTTCTCTTCCCAGCCCCTAACCAGGGCTACAAAAAGCAGAACTGGGATGGAGGAGGGTGGTAGGCAGGCCCCAGGGGGTTTTGATTTCCTAGTTCGGGTGAGGGTTATAGGCCTGGGGCCCCCCTTATGGAATCCTGTCCCTGCAGCTTGAGCCCATTTTCCCCTGCCCTTGTAGTGGCTCCGGGTACTGCCCTGTAAGCATGAGTTCCATCGAGACTGTGTGGACCCCTGGCTGATTCTCCAGCAGACTTGTCCGCTGTGCAAATTCAATGTCCTAGGTGAGCATCAGGGGGTGGAGCCCTTGGCTGACCCCTTCTATCTGACCTACCTGATGCCTTTCTCCATGTTCTTTCTCCTTCCCTGCAGGGAACCACTACTCAGATGAATAGCTGGGGATTCTGGATGTGGGATGGAACCTTCCCACCTGTACCCTGAGACAGGATAGCCTGGACTTCTGGGACAGGACAGTGGGGTGGACAGGACTGCCAGTCCTGTGGATGAAGGAAGGATATTGCTCCCACTGTGACCTTGCTGGGAAGAAGGGTCCTGCAGCCCCCAGGATAAGGATGCAAGCCAGGACCCACCAGGCAAGGGAGACAGGTCACTCTGGGATCTTTCTCTATAATCCTGGGACATCTGTGTTTGCCCTTGTCATGGGTAGCTCTGAGGACCCTGGGGAAAGAGAATGTGGGGCCCAGTGCTGCTGTCCCCAGCCCCGGGAGCTCTCAGTGTCCCTGAGGCCACAGAGGCCGGGTTTTATGCTTATTTATTGGGGGGTGGATTAAGGGAAAAGTTCTCTGACCTTTGGGCACCCTGACCTAACCATGTTTCAGAATATGTCTTGGTCAAGGCTGTGATGTTAAACCCAGAGACGACTCTACTGCCTGCTGCCCTCAATCTTGGGCACTGGGAGCCATGGGTCCTGCTGCTTGTTCAGCTGGGCTCCCTTCCTGTGCTTGGCTAGGACCAGAGGCCTCAGAAACCATCCAGTCCTGTTCTTGGTTGGGCTGTGTATTGCTGATCAGGATACTTGAAGCCACAGGATAAAAGTGGAACATTTTCCAAGGGCATCCATTTTTTAAAAGTTAGGGTAGGGAAGTTTTAATAGTAAAATAAATGTGGATATATTTTAATATGTAAAATTTGAGTGAATGTTGCTGGTGGTAGGTGGAATTCTCACATGGCTCCTAAGGTCCCCCCCCCATTCCTACCTTGTCATGAACATGCCTTGTATTGTCTCTGGAATGGTGACTCTTAAGGGATTTTACCCCTATGATTAGCTTATGTTATATGCACAGTTGACTTTAGGGTAGGGAAAGCACTCAAGTGAGCCTGACCTTGACCTGGGCCTGTTAAAAGCAGAGTTTGCTCTGGCTGGTAGAAGAAAAAAGGAAATCAGACACTTGATACCTGAAGGGGATTCAATACAGGGGACAAAAGTCCTGGCCCTTCCTTTGGTGGCCCTCCTGAGGCTCTGACTTCCAGGACTTAGAGAAATCCTTCATAACCAATTCTTAAAGGCATGGAGTTCCTCCGTGAATGAATGCCTGGTGTTCTTSGGTCCTTAATGCCCCAGACCCAGGATCAGAGCCACGGTGGGAGGCTGAAGGCACTGCTGTACTCTGCTTGCCTCAGTGAGCCCTGAGCCAGCATCCTAGCTTCTGACTCATTGCTTGCCTCAGATGCCCTCACTGGTCTTTCCCCTGTACATCCCCCACACCCTGATCTTCCTCTTTGTAGGTGCCTGGACTACTTCTGCAACAAAGAGAAGACAGAGACCAGGTTTACCCCTTGGTACTTGCTGTGAGAATAGTAAGATTTCTTCACCTGGCCCAGGTGCTAGAAGCTTCTCTTTGTGATGTGCTCTCCTTTCCCCAAGTCTATCAAGAGGGAGTCAGGAAGCTCCTGCCTACTGATGGCCCACAGTGCCAGGTCTCTGCTCGCTGAAGACCTGCATGGTATGGCCTCAGCCTCCAGTCTGGGCAGGGAAGGAAGGACTCTTTGTCCAGTTTAGCCATTCTGTGAGGCCAAGATCATCTTGGTTAGATGGCTGGGCCTTTATTTCATTGGGAGTTGCCAGCTACTTGTCCTCTATCCCTACCTCTACCACAGCCTACAAGGGTGGTTCTTGGGGCTGGTTTGCAGTACCCGCCTGGCCCCGGCTTGGTGACAGTCTCCTCCTCAGCTTGGCCAAGGTCCGGATGGGGTTCTGGGTACAGATGGCAGAGTGGGTCATGTCCTCCAGGGAGGATTTGTTGGGCCAGGTGGAGGGCTGCCGAGGTGGGGATGCTTGAGACTGGCCTGGCAGAGTCCTGCCTGCACTGCTTGTCCTGCTGCCAGGAGGGTGCCACCTGCCTAGAGGCCTGAGGGAAGACAAGATCACAAAATCCCCTGTGAGCAAGGGGGTCTATACCACTCCATCTGTCCTACATTTGACAAAGACTCACTCACCCTGGGGATGTACTCTGGGCCTGGGCCCGGGATGCTGCTCCTTGGGTTCCCTTGCTGGGAGGGGACCAGAGCTGTTCCTGTGGAATCATCTGCAAAGAAGGTCAAGCTCTCTGTACCCTACCCACTGTACAAAGAGGGTGTCTTAGTAGGGACAGGGAGGGAAAGTCTGARCTCTTAGTTCCTTCCACTAAGTGGTATGACCTAGGAAGCTGTCCAGGGCTTTCCTCAGCAGCAAACCCTCAGGCAGGCAGTATATATGGGAAGGTTCCTCTGACATTTGATGGTATTAAAGTCTCTAAGGGTATTTGGAGATAGAGGACACTGGAACTTTAACATCCTCACACCTTGAGTGAAGTTTCACAAAAGCACTGCTTAAATACCAAATGAAGATGGCTTTCAGCAGGCTCCCAGGCAACCTGAAGATCTCAATGGGTAGAGGCCTCCTCTAAGTCCCAAAGGGTTACCCTCTCAGACCCACCTTGAGGGCCCCCTGCTGGGCCACCTCATGGATTTTGGACAGCATTGACTGGAGCCACCCRTTCTCCTCCTGCAGGACCCGGATGCGGATGTCATTGGCCTGCACCTGCCTCTCCATGTCATCTGTGACGTTGCCAGAGTCTGTGGAGACATGATATCTGGGACCCCACCACATTGGGTCTGCCTCTTGTGCCCAATGGGACAGGACCTAACAGGACAGGCTTGGAGCTAGGCAATGCACTGTGCTTCCCATCCATTGCATCTTCATTCTCCTAGGGCCTTGTTCGAATTCACAGTGATTTGGCAAAAAAAATGAAAGAGTAGATCTCTTATCTCCAGCACCACAAAAGGGAAAGAGAGAATCCCTACCAAGGTCACCTGTTTTTGTTGTGCTAGAAATACAGTGAGTTTGTCCTAAGAATCATCCAGGCAGCCCTGGATAAGTCACAAGAATTCAGCTTGGATGTTCTTTCCCATGCTTTGCTTCCAGCTGTGTAAACCTGGGAAAGTTACTGCCCACTTTGATTTCTGGTTTCCTGGTTTGGAAAAAGAAGCTACCTGCCCTCAGAAGGGCCTGTCACTTAATGCTCAGAAATGATGACTTATAATGATCAGCTAAATTACAATGCATCTTCCCAAGAGSTCTGTGACAGGATTCACTCCAGAGTCTTAAAGGGCTGTAGGGGCTGAGAGGAGAAAAGAACCCATTTGCCTGACACTTAATCCTGTGCCAATGTGGGTACATAGCACTCCTGAGCATGGGCTCTAGGACTTTGGAGAGTGGGGGGCTGTGTCATTGGAACCAGCTCTGTAGTATGGTTTGGGGAGAGAACCAGAAAGGGGGACACAGRAAAGCTGAGCAAGGACTGGCACGTGATGTGGTGAAAACCATGCACTATAGGCAGCTAGATCCATTTCTAGATTCTGCTGTAGCAACCATAGGCAGTCACCTCACCTCTGGGTTTCCATGTCCCCTCTACACAAAGCGGTGGACAACACATATTATGTGTTGTCATGGTGACTCTAAGGGCTGCACTTCTAGTTGTCACACCTTCCCCACTACCACGTACATTGTGGACTGGGGGAGTTGCAGGCCCAGTGTTCTGCCAAGGTGAGTCTTTAGTTGCCCACTCAGGCCCAACAATGTCTTTGGCAGCATTCCTAGGACCCTACTTGGGATCTGGGCCTCCATGGGCTTGTGTAGGTCAGGAAAGGCCACCAGCAACCGCTCTCGCTCCCTCAGCTCCGCCAACTCCCGTTGCAGTTCTGAGATGGTCAGTCGTAGATCTGTTGTCACCTGCTCCATGTCTTGCTTCTCCCGCTGCAGGCTCTGCAGTAGCTCCTGAGGCAGGGAGAGGTTCAGATCTGGTCCCAGGATGGCTCCCCTAGGGTCACTGCCCCACCTCCAGACACAGGACAGGCCCAAAGACACTTAACAGGTTAGAGGTTCCTCTGATGAAAGGGAAGCTCCCCCCATCTCACCCTGCCCATTTTCACCTGCTGGGCCTGGAGCTGGCACTGTCCCTGCTCCCTCTGGCTCTGCAGGTTCTGTAGCTGCTCCTCCACCTGGGCTCGTTGGGCCTCGGCCTCTTCCAGACTGCCCCGTAGCTCCTCACGCTCCTGGTCCAGGATGTCCAGCTGCTGTAGCAGGGCCCGCTGTTTGGCTTGCAGGGACTAGGTGAGAAGGATGGGCAGGGAGGCTGTGAGGTCCACCAGTCTAGGCCAACATGGGACTAGTATCTACAACYTTCCCAGTTCCTTCCCTTGTGCCATGAGTCTGTGTACAGGGGTCTGTGCACATACATAGAGGGAAAGTGGGCAGAGGGGAGACAGCAGACATGTACACCTAACCAGATCCAGTTCAAGTCCCCAGCTTGCAGACCCTCCACCCTTGTAAGGCAATTGGCTGACCCTGGAAGCCTTCCCTCCCACACATTTTTTTCAGTCATACACAGTCCCTACTAGAAGAGGAATTCTGGCAAATAGGCTTCTCTTCTTTTCCTCCAGTGTCATATCAGCCTGTCATTGAAACCCTTACTGCCTGACTTGCATTGACTGTAAAGCAGTGAGAACCACTGCTTTACAGTCAATGCAATGGTGAGGATTGGACTTGCCCCAGTTCCTCAGAGTGCGGAGTCTGGCTCTGCCTCTTAGCTGTACAGCCTGGGAAGCTTCCTTAAATCTCACTGARCCTCAGTTTCCCCATGCATGAATGGGAATGACAGGAGTATGTACTGCCTACTATTGTGGAAGGGAGTAAGAACAAAAAGACTGCAAAGCCTGAAGCCCAGTGCCTGGTTGAGGGTCTTACCTCCTGATGGCGAACCATGCTGTCGACACGGGCCTTCTCCTTGTCCAGCTCTGTGCTGGCCCAGCGGATCTGCTGGCCAGCACTGTCCAGCCGCCCTGCCAGCAGCTGTACCTGCTCCTCCAGCTGCTGCACCTGCCTTTCAGCCACTGCCCTGCGCTCACTTTCCTCCTGCAGCTGCTGGGTCTTTGCTTCTGCAGGATCCAGTGAACAAGCATGTGTTGAGGGGGAGGGGTAGGGCACTGGAGCCTTTGGAAGGGAGACCCTGGACTACCTCTGACCCAAGATAGGACCCAAGGGAGGTCACATTATGTCTCTGGGCTTGTGTTCTCAGCCACAACATGCAGCTCTGGACCCCAATGAGGTGGGTCTAGAAAACAGAAGATACTTTCTGGGTAGGAGGTAGTACCCCAACTCAGGTCATCGCCCAACAGTGTGGATGGTCATGTACACCCTCCCTTTCTCTTTGCCCCAGAAGCTCAGGGAACAGAGATGGAGGATGCTTGTACAGTCACCACTGGATTGAGATATGGCATGGTAACATGCAATGGGGTTCCTTACCCATTGCCTGCATGGACTCCTGTTGCTGCTTCAGCTCCTCCTCTAGGGTGGCCACCTTTGTTTTTAGGTCACATGTTTCTAGAGCAGCAGAGAGAGAGGTCCTTCAAAGGGTCTTTTGGGACTAGCCAGCAGCCCTCATACCCAATGCATGCTGCAGAGCAGAGGCAGCCATGCAGTGTGGAAGAGGCCACCAGAGGTTGCCAAAGAAGCCCTGGGGAGATGYTTGAGCCCCAACCTGCTTCTCACTGGCTGGCTGTTGTGTGCCTGTACCTCTCTGGGCCTTGGTGCCTTCCATGGAAGTAATGGTGAGGCTTGGACTTGCCCCAGTTCCTCAGGCTTCAAACCATCAGAGGATACTGAGAAGCTCCAGTGCTGGGAGCTGTATCTCTTTGGTCAAAGCCAGAGAGACTGCTCCACTAAGGGGGAAATACTAGGGGAACAAGTTCCCCAGAAGTAACCCTCAATGACCTCCAGGAGCAAGTGGATTAATATCTTAGCTCCCTCCCCTTCTGATGGGACTACTCTGAGGCACATGTACCATCCATTATCTCCTGGTATTCCCCAGTGGGACTGAGCTCTAGTGGGACTAGCTGCTCACAGTGTCACCAGCTRGATGGACATGCTCTTCTTTGCTACCTTCTCCTCCTTGCCTACTCCCCAGGCCAGGTTCCTTCCACGTAAGCTGTGTCAGGGTCTACCTCAGAAAGTGCCCATGGCAAGACTTTAGCAGAGCCCATGGGCACTGAATATCCAGCCTTTGGGATACAGACCTGCGAGTAAATGCTGCCTGTCACACTCCTGCTGGGCCATGTGCTGCTCAGCCTCTTCTGCCCGCCGCTGCCGCTCGCCCTGCTCCTGCTTCAGGGCATGCTCCAGCTTGCCCACCTGCTTCCTTAGTCCATCCTTCTGTCCCTCAGCCTCCTCCAGTTGGGCCCTAAGGGGCCCAACAAGCTGAGTGAGAGTGCTCACATGCTTACTGAGGCGTGCCAGGTCTTTGCTCTGCTCTGTTGCCCAGTGGCCCATGGTGGCAGCTGGTAGTGGCCTGAGCCCCATGCTGTCCTGTACCAGCTGCTGGAACTGACCCAAGGATGAGGGCAAGTTCTGGCTCTGACACAGGCTGATGACCACTTTGCCCACTTCCCAAAGGCTGCCCTGGACACTGGTACATGCATCACAGGGTACCAGCGCTGTCTCGATGGTCTGGGACTGGAYGCTTTTGGTGTTCTTGGATGTCCCAGCTGGATACCTCAAGGAGACTCTGACAGGGATTCTCTGTGGCCCTTGGTAGGTATGGGTCAAGCCTGCTGTTGGGGAGGGCGGCTTGATGAACTTGGCAGTCATACATTCAGGGCTCCTGGCTGGCTCACCCTTGGCTGTGGGCCTAGAGATGGGAGTCTCTCCTTGTTTTGCCCTTTTCTGGGGTTATGAAAAGAAAGGGAAAGCAGGTGAGAGAGAAATGGGCCTGGGAAGTGACCAGTTCCCTGGGGATGTTCTGTAACAGCCTTGCCCCAATGCTCAGACTCTCAAATGATATCTGACAAAACAGGAATAAGAGAAAACGTGACTTTTCCTGTGACTCAGCTTACTAAGCCCAGGCTTCCTTTCTTCTGCCCCCACCCTCACCCCAAATTTGATGTGATGATATACATGGTATTGGGAGGGTAACAGTGACAGGAACAGCAGGCAATTACTGGGCCCTTGCTTGCCGTCATGTCACTATCACCATTCATTTAATTTCTTCCTCCTCATGGTGACAGATATCCTTCCCTACCAGATGGTTTGGAGGACTACGGGATAACCCATACCACATGGGGCCTCATCTTAGCCCTACTGTACAGATGAACAAACTTAGAGTCTGAATAGGTAGGATTCTCCTAAAGTCCCATGGCGTAAATGGCAGAGCCAGGAAGCACAGATATGACCAAAGCCTACTTTCTTAACTGCTGTGCCATGTGGGCCTTGACTGGGAGGCTGCAGAGTTTACCCTGCTCCCTGTGAGCAGTAGGGAGTCAATGAAGGATGCAGTGCACACAGTGGCACACTAGGAAGCTGAAGTTGAGGCAGGGTGTGAGGGGCATCACCACTGGGGGCTGGGGCCCATTCACCTGGCCAGCCACCTGCTGGTAGAGCATGCCCAGCCTTAGCAGGCTATTCCAGAAGCGTCGCACTGTGAGCCCCACGGACATGCAGGGCCCTGCAGCCTGGGCAGGGGGCATTGTCTGACCTGAGCCAAGGTTCTCCAGGTAGCTGGCGCAGCTCTGAAGTAGCAGCAGGAGCCTGTAGGCAGAGATGCCATGGTGGGCCAGGATCAAGATGGGCTAGTGTGCCCTCACACCACACAACTGGCAGCTTCAGACTCTGGGAAAGCGGCCCAGGCATCAGGAACTTGGAGAGTCTCTGAATCTGCTGCTGGGTCAGCTTCAATGACAACTCAGTGGCCACTGTCTCCAAGAAGCCCTCCCTGACCCCCAGCTCAGCTCAGGGGCCTCTTAGGAGCCTCCTGGTGGCAGCCCTTCTGCCTGGTTGTTCCCTGAACTTGATTAGGGAACTTGGGGAGGCCAGCCTGGCTACATATAAGGTATATTCTGAGTGCCTGGAAGTTCTGGGTGAGCAACTGCCTTATATCAAGTGCTCTAGAATCTTTACAGATGACACAGCTGAGACCCCAAGAAGTCAAGGCCCTCCACAGTCACAGGGTGAGCAGGGCAGGAAAGATGCACAGTGCAGCCTCCTGAGTGTAGTCAGGGGCTTCTCCCACAGGCTGACCTACTTTTATGACAAGGGAGACTTGGGATGAGGTCTCTGTGCTAATTTCCAAGTTCAAAATTAGAGGCAGGCATTAATTTAAGAAAAAAGGGGGGGACAGTGGTGCCTGGCATTGTGCCAAGCAGCAATGGGGAATGGGGACACATCTGGAAAGAGGGTAGAACATGGCCTTGGCACAGCAATCTGTGCTCAGACAGACCCTAATGGTGGAAGACGCTGTGCTGTCTTCATCCTTAGCTCTGATTCCATTCCTTGAAATGACCCGAGTACCTCTAAATGCCACACTGGGGGCTAGAGGTCAGGGTTCCCAGGCAAGTCTGAGTCTGAGGTCCAGTGGTCTCTGGCAGGATTTACTTTTATATACACAGGAGCCCAAAGGAAGCTCCAGTTAATTTGGCCTGAAGTGGGTAGGGGGGCATTTCAGTAACAACTTCACAGAGAAGGAATGGGTAAACAGAGCTTTGATAGATGAGAGGGGCTTGGTCAGACCAGCAGGGAATGGGTAGAGCACTCTGAACAGGGGGATAATGAGTAATGCACAGTCACAGAAGAAGGAAGGTGTGTTCTAGACTCATATTTATCTGGCTTCTTATAGATTACAAATGGTGCTTTCTTACCTACAGCTCCACCAGGTCTCAGAGTAGTAATCCTGCCTTCTCTGTTTCCAGGTGAGTCATGCTGCAACATCCCTGCTGCCTGTCAGGTCCCCATGGCTTTACTGTCATATAAGTTTTTTGAGTACCAAGAGCCTAGGTTGCAATTTCCAGGAAGTAGAAGGCTAATGACCACATTAATTTTTTTATTGTTGTTATTTTGTATGTGTGTGTGCTGGGGATGGAACCCAGGGCCTCACACATGCTAGGCCAATAGGCTCTACCACTGAGCTACATCCCCAGACCAGTCATGCTAACTTTAATGACAGTGTAGAAGTGGTGGGGGCTATAGGGAATCCACTAGCCTTTTCCCAGCAGGACCAGGAAGTGGAAAAACATCCCATGTCTGGCCTTGTGATGTGTAGAAGGAACAATACAGCCCACAAGACACCAGGAAAAAGAGCCTGGGATGGAAACTCTGAGCGATAGCTAAGGAGTCCCAGACACAGAAACCCTGAGACAGTAGTTAGAACTGTGGTGAACCAAGGACTGAAAGGGGTAGGTGGCAACTCCCTGATAATGGAGGCAATAGGACAGCATAGCACTGAACACAATAAAAAAGGTGAGGTCATTTCAAGGGTCCTGAGCTGATATAGCCCCTGACAGGTACTCAGTAAATGGTGATTACTTTTACCCATGTCCTCACCACCTCTAGAAGGGGTTCCTACAGCTGCAACTGGTATAAGGGGCAGATGMTAGCATCCAGGGATGTCCAGATTCTACCAAGGCCCTCACCTGTCAATGACCAGCTCTAGCAGCACTGCATGGGACAGCTGCGTGAATTCGGGATCGTCTGGCACATGGTCATAGTGTTCCAGCAGGGCCACCATGTCGAGGTCACAGGCCACACGGTCAGGGAACTTCCAGGAGGGGAAGCGCACAGGCCCAGCACGTGAGAACACATCCACAATAGCACCCTGCAGATCAGTGAGGTCCTTGCGCAGGCTGTCCATGCAGGACTGGCTGCCCAACAGATGTGCCATCCCCACCGCTCCTGAGGTGGGCAGAGAGAAACCCTGTTAGTCAAAGTTAGGTTATTGCTGCTGAAGGAATCTTTGGAAAACCCTAATCTTCCTGGTTGCTTCTCAGCCAAAATTCTGCCCCTGACCTTGGGGAGAAGTCTGTTCCCAATCCCTAAGTAACAGACTTTTCAGGACCTGGTTATGGGTGGCCTGGCCACCCTCCCTCTCATCCACCCAACCCTGTACCCACCCTACCTATCCCATTATTTCTCAAGTACTTCCTGAAAGCCTGCAAGTGCTGGGCCCAAATGTTGGGTGTATACAGCTGTGAACAGGAATGTGTTTATCACCCTTCCCTCCTAGGACAAACTCTCAAACGGGGGTATGGACAATTTAAAGAGTTATAGCTACACCATGTCAGGGAGTGCTGGGATATACCAAACCATTGCCATCTCCTGCCTAGACTAATGCAGCAGCTTCTGGCATCCTACAATTTGATCTGCTGCTGTAATTTGATCAACTTTGGCTTAAGAGATCTGCACCAAACTCTATYTGACCACATCAGCTGGCCAACAACCCCTCAGGACTCCCTATGGCTCTATGGCCCTTGGGAGAAGGCCATATTCTCCCAAGGGCCATAGAATGGCCGCATTCCTCACCTCATAGTCTACCCTGCCATATTCCACTCCTTCCACCATCARCTGTGAGCAGCAATCATGTGCCCTGCACACTCATTTTTGAATCCTTGCTCATCTGTCCCAGTCTGAATCATGTTTCTCCATCGGATTCCTGTCAGCTAGCTAACTCCTTTCATCCTTGAGGGTCCCTGGGTATCACCTCCTCCAGGAAGGCTACCCAAAGTACCCTCCAGGCTGGGTTAGATAATCCCAAATCAGCCCTGATCCCTCACTGCTGTAATAGCCTCCTCTCTGTGTCAATAGTCATTGTGGTATCTTAAGCATGGTCAACTGGGGCCTTGCCCATTGTAGATGTTTACTGGCAAATGAATAATTGAGTACTGAATAAAGAAAAAAAAATCACATAAGAAATTTAAAATGCACTGACTTTGGGGAAAAATAAGGTCTGAAGTGTAAGAGATGAAAACCTGGAAACTTGTATGGAGACCTATTCTAACCAACCTTGCTCTTCCTGGCTTCATGGCCTCAAGCAAGTCACAACAGCTAGCACTGAGGACTGGAACACTTCCTGGTCTCATCACCCAGAATGTGCCCATATCTCATACTTCCTCTAGATAAGATACTTCCCTCAGATTTCTACCCCTATGTCCCCTCCTCAGGAAAGCCCTCCAGAACCCCAGGCTGAGTGAGGTCCTCTGTTATACATTGTTTTTAGCACCCTGTCTTTTTCTTCCAAGCATATGCCACCACCAGAATGGAATCATTAAATATCTGTATGTAACAGTTGTCTGTCTCCCTGTGTGTAGACCTTGTCCTTTGAGTATGATCTGACCAGTTGGGCTGAGGCCTGAGGACCAGTTCGTTTACAGGTGCTGGGAAGCTTAGGTACCTGAGGATGATACTCCACAGCTGAAGGGAACTCAGTCTCCAAGAGAACTGGGCTCTGCCCTCACCTCTCACGTGTCTGCCTATAGTGCTGGAGTGACCCACTGAGTCTGGTTCTTATACTCTGGGTCTCATTCAGTTGCCTGCAAGACTGGCCTCAAGCTGCCCTTCAGTACCTGGGAATGGATGAAGGCAAGAGTGAGTGAGTACATAGTCAGGCAGGAGTTCCTGGGGTGGTGGGTTGGAAGCTATCTAGGAAGAAGGCGCTGGAGAAATGGGGTGAAAGGGTGGGTGGGATGCATGCTTTGAGCCTAAACACAATGGGTGTGCTTCAATAGTACTAGCTTTGATTAAACAGCCCACTGTGCCCTACTTCACTGAATTTCCCTCCTTTACATAGAAAAGGAAACCTAGGCTCTGGAAAGCTAAGAGGCTAGCCTAAGATCTCCTAGGGAGCTGGGATTCTGAATCTAACATCTCTGCTCTTTCGTTAGGCCATGCTCTTTCAATAGCAGCAGTGTCTAAGATAAATAAAATGCAAGGCACATATGGGGTTTAGATTTTGTACTTGCCACTTATGGGGTACAGGAACCCTATCTCAAAATATGGCATCTTGGAAACTGAGAAACAGAAGCAGGAAAGCCTTCTCACCTTCCCTTCATCTTTCTTCCCTAAAATGGGCCATACAACCTAGAGAGGTCATTCAATGACCTCCTCCTTCCCTTCTCTCCTAAAGACCTGGTGTGACAGTTGTCCTCTCCTATATAGCAGATTGGGAAAGAATGTCACACAGGAATGACAAGAAAAATATGAACAAATAGTCCTTGCTAAGTGCCTCCCTTTTTGTCCTATCATACTGTGATATCAGGATGATTGTGAATGAAAATACACAGATGTCTTGGTGTCTTTGGGTCTTCGCTTCTAAAGCCTTGCATGTCATGGAAAACTTTTATTAAATAAATTGGTATGTTCTTCTATTGCTAATTTGTCCTAGTTATAGGGTYCTCAGCCAAAACCCTTGTGATGGGTAAGAAAAAGATATTACCTTTTCTCTCCTATACCACATTAAGAAGAGTAAAAAAAAGTGGCGAATTAATTTTAACAACATTTCTTTACTTGAATATACTCAAAACATTATTTCAACATGAACTCAACATACAATTAAGACTTTTTTTCACATTTTAAAAATTAAGTCAGCTGGGCGTGGTGGCACACACCTGTAATCCCAGTGGTTTGGGAGGCTGAGACAGGAGAATAAGCCGGCCTCAGCAACAGCGAGAAGCTAAGCAACTCAGTGAGACCCTATCTCTAAATAAAATACAAAACAGGCCTAGGGATGAGGCTCAGTGGTTGAGTACCCCTGAGTTCAATGCCCAGTACACACACAAAAAAAGTCACCTGCTGTGCGTGGTGGCACACGCCTGTAATCCCAGCAACTCAGGAGGATGAGGAAGGAGAATCTTGAGTTCAAAGCCAATCTCAGCAGATTAGCAAAGCACTTAGCAACTCAGTGAGACCCTGTCTCTAAATAAAATATAAAAAAGGGCTGGAGATGTGGTTCAGTGGTTAAGTACCCCTGGGTTCAATCCCCTGTACAAAAACAAAAAATAAAAATAAAGATAAAGTTACCTAGTGTCTATTTGACCTTTATTTACAGAGCATCTCAATTTGCATCAGACAGTATTCCATGCTTAAAAGCCATATGGGCTGGTAATTACAGTTTTGTACAATGCAGATGTAGAGGATCAGATGCTGCATTCATTCAGCAAACAGGGACTAAGTATCCATACTGCTATGTCCTGTATCAAGACTAGGAACAGTGGTGCATACCTGTATTTCCAGCAACTTAGGAGGCTAAGGCAGGAGGATTGCAAGTGTGAGGCTAGCCTGGGCAACTTAATGAGACCCTGTCTCAACATGAAAAATGAACCAGGGTTATCTTAATGGTAGAGCACCCCTAGGTTCAATCCTCAGTATGGGGTCAGGGGGGAGACAAGAAACAGAGCAGGACATACAGATACCTGTCCTCCAGGAAACAATTATGTCTGAGGGTCTCTGAGGGTAAACTTGGGTGTGTCAGATTCACTCACAGGCTAGGAAGATGCATACATGTGTTGCTTTGGCAACTGCCTCTTGGGAGATAATGCTGCCTAAGAGATTTTATGTCCCTAAGGAGTGCAGTGGAAACAGAGAGGAAAAACAGACTGCAACATTTGGGTTTCCTTCCTGGAATGAGCATGAAGGAGATAAACAAAGAAAGCAAAAAGCCCCAACTCAGGAGGAAGCAAATTCAGRGGTAAAGGTCCTAGAACTCATGAGCTTTCTGGTGAAGGTAAAGAAACACAGGTCTGTTCACCATCAAATTACTACAGCAGCCATCTCAGGTCATCTTGGATACCAACTCCCATTAGATTCTGGTTCAGATAAGTAGCAGCAAAAGCTAAAGCATTAAGAATATCCAAGGTTGGGCTGGGCTGATATAGCTCAGTGGTGGAGTGCACAAGGCCCTGGATTAACCCCAGCATGAAAGAGGGGGGGGGAGGAGAGAAGAGAATATGAATGAATATGAATATCCAAGGTTATCTTTAATCATTTCTTTTGAAGACTGAGGTTATGCAGATGTGTGGTTTGAGAAGCACTTAGTTCACAGGGTGGACTTCTGACTCCCAGAGAAAGGCAAGAGCCTTTGTTCACTCCTGTTCAACATTCAGGCCCCTCCTCTTTCTCAGAACTAGCCCCTTATACTACCGGTAAAGATTATGCCTACCTCCAACCAGTGTACTCACTGAAATTCAAAGTCACCACCATGAAAACACTATAGAAACTCTAAAACCACCTACATGGCAGTTGTCATCCTCTAACCTGAAACTGCTAATTGCCTGGATCTCTGGGGACACCAAAGAGATCCCAGCCTTGAGTAAAGACAAAAGAATAACCATCTGCACTGGTAGAGAAGATGGGCCTGAGTTTAGACTTCCACCTATCAACTCTGAACTTCATGGTCTTTATCTATAAATAGGATGCTATAAGGAACAAGTGATTTAACCCATGTAGTGTTTGGCACTGGGTCTGGTTTGCAGTAAATACTTAATAAATCCTAGCTTGCTTGCTTTCTATTCATTTACTTACTACAGGGTCTTGCTCTTTTGCTGGTTTTCAACTCCTTGGCTCAAGTGATCCTCCTATCTCAGCTTCTGGGGTAGCTGGGACTACAAGCACGTGCCATTGAGATGGGTTCTAGCTATCATTACCGTTCTACGTTAATAATAACRATGACATTAATAAGGTAAAGTGTGCAGACAGGGGAAAGAGTCTTGGGAGAGAAACTCTTCCTATCACTGCCCCATCTCACAGGTGAGAAAATTAAAGTCCAGCAAGGGCTCTAAATCAGCTCCCTGCATTCCGGAGTTGAGAGGAGAAGGGACATGGATGAGAAGATCTTGGCAGAGGGAGAGAAGCTTGCGCGATTGAAGCGTGTCTCTGCAAAACAAGGAGTACGGTCTGCAAGGCCTAACCTGTGGGAGTCAGGGTCAGAACCTGACCTGATCTGAGAGGGTCCAGTGGGGCTTGAGGAGGAGTCTAAGGAAGGCAGGGGTGGGACTTAGAAAAGGTAGAACCACGGGTGGGAATTAAGGACGTTAGATTTGAGAGGGGGCCCTGGAGGAGGTGGGCCTGAAGCGAAAGAGTCTAAAGGAGTAAGAAGGTGGAGTTTTGAGCCGGTGGACCTAAGTGGTCCGGGCTCTCCACCAGGAGATGCCAAATCTGAGGAAGCGAGCGGGAACCTTGTAAGGCGGGGTCGATGGGAACACGGAACTGGCCTGTGGAATAAAGCAACAACCACGGCCGCGAGGTTAGACCGGCGGCTGTCGCGAAAGTAATGTGGAACATCTCACCTGTCTTTGAAGTCCTGGCCTTAGCTTCGGCGTCTGGCTGGCTCATGGAATTACACCCAGGGCGCCTGCAGCTCTGAAGATCCTTTGAAAACTCTAGCCTAGCGGCAAGAGTGTTGCCATGGCAACGGTGCCGCGTGCGGCCGTCCTGAGGAGCAGGAAGCTCGCCATAGCAAGGGGAGGGACCGGAAGTGCGCCATTCGCGCCTCCGCGACGACGACCCGCTTAGCCGCCGCCATCTTGTGAGCTCGTCGTACGGTGGGTGCGCGAGTCTGTCTTGACGCAGTACCAGTCATCGATACCGAGGCGGACTGGCAGCCCTGAGCGTCGTAGTCATGCCGGCCGGACCCGTGCAGGCGGTACCCCCGCCGCCGCCCGTGGCCACCGAACCCAAACAGGTACCGCGTCCCCCACCTCTACCGCAGTCCGAGCCGGAGCCTAGGCCTGGGCCCTCCCCTCCAGCCTTCCTCACTCCCGCAGAAAGAAGCGGCCCCTTCGGAGGGTTTGGAAGGACTACAAGTCCCAGGAGGCAACGCGCTTTCCGCGCTGCGCGGCCTTCCCTCTAGAACTCTAGTTCTCAAAGTAGTCCGCAGACCAGCAGCACCGGCATCACCTAGAGCTTATTAGAAATGCAGTCACTAACCCAGACTTTTTAAGTAGACATTTTTAACAAGATCACAGTGATTAATTAAAATGTGAGAAGCACTGAGTCAGCCCATCCACTAGGCTTTTGTCTTATAATTCCTAATTTCCCTACTTTCGTGGTACCTTTTTGGATGTTAATTCTTAGCATCTACTCTGCACTTACTGTGCTGGGATTCAACATTACCAAAATGAATGAGGCACAACCCCGGCTTTAGGGAAGACGAACAGACTAGAATACCCACCAAATGTTTATTGCCTTGATTAATATAAATGATGAAGTTCCACTCACCCCTAAAATGCTCAGTCGGCTATTGGTGAAACAGATGCATGAATAATTGCTATATGGTGTGGTATCACAATACTAGAAGTACTGGATACAAAGGAGCCGTTAAATCAAAAGTTCTTGCTGGGGTAGAGGAGAGATGACCATAGTTGAAGTGCACAGTTAAGAGAGGTAAATTATTTTTAGAAGGATTAATAGGAGTTCACCAGGAGGATGATTAGGGAAGGAAAATGGCATACTGTAATCATTCGGTGAACATTTACTGAGCTCACACTGTATGCTGATCACTGCTTTGGATTCAGAATACTCCAAGCAACAAGACAGAAAAGACCCATGTCCTTTCCACCAGTATTTATGTGTTCTTGTCATTTTCCTAGGCACTAGGGGAAATAAGGTAATACCAGGTAGTAAGTTCAAAAACAGCAAGATAAGAATCAGATAGTGCCTCTCCCTGATCAAGGATAAGTGAGCAAGTGTGGCTGAAGTGCAGGGTGGGGAACGTGGTAGCTGGAGATATGATTCTTAGGATTTGACCTTGTCCTTATAGAAAATGGGAAAAATGGGAGAATTTCTAGGTAGTAATAGTTCTGTTTGAGATTCAGGTGGTCAGGCAGTAATGAGGGGAATTGCTAGGGGGATCAGAGATACTGAGGAGCTAGGCATTGTGGGGCCCACCTCTAATCCCAGCCTCTTAGGAAACTGAGGCAGGGGGGATCCCAAGTTTGAGGCCAGCCTGGGAAACTTAGAGACTGACATAAGTGCTGGGGATGATGTAGTTCAGTGCTAGAGCACTTGTCTAAAAAGCCTTGGGTTCAGTCCCCAGTACTGGGAGGGTATTTACTTCATAGGGTTCTTATAAGGGTTGTAAGAGTTAATAAATTTAAATGCTTTTAAAAGACACCCGCAACCTACTTTGTTAAGGCTTTTACAAATAAATAAAATATTTACAAATAAATGTTATCATTGTGGAGGCCCGGGTTTCTGGCCTGTGTGAGTTGGAGACCATCTATGAGGTTAGAAATGAAAAGTGCAAAATGCCAAGAAGTAGGCTGCACCTAAAGCACTGTGGCATTCCAAAGTCATCTGGATTGATTTGGCTGGATTGTTCAGCCAAACAGGAAGTAGGGGACATAGTTAGGATTGCCTCACTAATGTGAATACAGTAAAGAGAACCAAAAGCAAAATTTTAGGGGTCTCTAGCATTATAGGATAGGAGGCAGGAAGGAATCATGAACAAGAAGGAAAGATAGAATGAGGCTTTGGTTAAACAGTTTTGTGAAGGGATAGTCACTGGTGTTGTCCAGATAATGGTTGTAGTTGATTGTTGSCAGTTGTTTTTTACCTTGGCAAGAGCACTTTGAATGTGGATCAAATGGGAGGTAAGGTAGTGGAAACTCAGGATGTTAAGCTACAGTAAGAAAGGGAGGGAGAAGGCAGCAGTGGAACAGAACTTGAAGGCAGGGCATAGATTTTATTTTTCTAAGGTGAAGGACTTGACCCTTTGTTTATTACTAAGGGAAAGAAGCTACTGGATAAAGAACATGACAACTTACAGGGAAATTCGGCTATTCCAGGGATGCTTCACAAAACATCAGTGCATTGAATGGTGATTAGAGCTGTGGAATAGATACAGAGAGAAAGGGAATTCAAAGCAGAACGAAGCCGCCAGCAAGGAATTACCCATGTGGGTGTTGGGTGTTGGGTCCTAGGAATTAAACCAAGGCTTTATACATGCTTAGCGTATATTCTAMCATGAGCTACACCCCAGCCTTCCTGTTTCTTTATTCAGCAATCAATACGACTGGTCTGCAGATTAAATGTTCTGTGCCAGGCACAGTGCTGGGTGCAGGGTTCTGGTTCTGGGTTCTGGTCATCTTCTCAGAAGTAGCCAGAGCTGCTGCATCTGAATCACTTGAGCATTTGGTTAAAATGCTGGTCTCACTGAGACCTGGAGGGGAGCCAAGGAAGCTCCCCTTTTCCTTGGTTCCCAGGAGAAACCTGTGTAAGCACCATGCAGGTAAGAGAACTGCTTTTCTGAAGCAGAGGGTTCTAAGGAAGTCTGCAGGGCAAAGTTTGTGCTGTAAACAATATCCTGGAAGGGTATAATGAGTTGGGATGAGGGAAATTCTTCCCCAGACCTGGGACTTCAAGACTTTATTTTCTATTTTCACAGCCAACTGAAGAAGAAGCACCTTCAAAGGAAGATTCCACCCCTTCCAAGCCAGTGGTTGGGATTATTTACCCTCCTCCAGAGGTCAGGAATATCGTTGACAAGACTGCCAGCTTTGTAGCCAGGTAATGTAACTACTTCTGCACAGGTGGGTCAGAGGTGGATTGTGGCATGAAAAGCTTCTGAATCATCACAGAAGTAACCTGTGTTACAAAAGATTTTATTGGCTTGGATGTGTTAGTTTGTCCAAAACTACAACATGGCAGTGAGGTAGCCAACAGATAGGACTGACATTTCCAACATAGCACAGAGTCTCACCCTCTGTATCCAAAACAGGCCTGAATAGATGCCTGGAAAGCTATTCTATCATAGACAGTTTGTCTGAGCTGCTGGCCTGAGAAAGGTAAAAAGGAATTGATCATTCTCATTGTACAGGGACCATATTTCACCAGCCTCAAATGACCCCTCTGCAAAGTTGAGTCAATGAGTAAGCTGATTGGACTGAATAGAGCTCATTTACGTCATGCAAATGTTAGCTGCCTTCCCAAATGGGATGGAAGTTGGTCAGCCTTCCTCCTGGCTCACCCCATTGTGCTTATTTATGTACACTCACATATCCTTAGATGGAATCTTCTTGACTCCAAAGAGCAATACATCCCCTGGTTTAGGGTATTTAGAGTATTCTTATGACAGCCAACAGATTATATCCAGCCTACAGTTGTTTTTGTTTGCCCTCACAGTATTCTTTTTTTTTTTTTTTTTTAATATTTATTTTTTAGTTCTCAGCGGACACAACATCTTTGTTGGTATGTGGTGCTGAGGATCGAACCCGGGCCGCACGCATGCCAGGCGAGCGCGCTACCACTTGAGCCACATCCCCAGCCCTCACAGTATTCTTTTAAAACTCGAATTAGTTGTCAATGCTTAAAAGGGAGGAAATTTCACAATAAATTTGGATTTCTGGCTTTCCTTTGGGGAACTGGCACCTTCTTTTTTTAAAGTATTTTTTAGTTTTTATAGTTGGWCACAATATTTTTATTTTATTTATTTATTTTTTATGTGGTGCTGAGGATTGAACCCAGTGCCTCAAACGTGCTAGGCAATAGTGCTCTACCACTGAGCCACAACTCCAGCCCTGAAACTGGCACCTTCTTGCTGGAAAGCTATAGCTATCCCTGAGAAGATTATTGCCCTCAGTTGGGGAATGTGTTCTCCAGGGGTTCATGCCTTGACAGTCACTTCTTTTAAGGCAGAATCCTTAATATTTTATGTAATTTAATGGATATTCCTTCCTTTTACAGCCTCCTAATAAAATGAAACAGAATTACTCTAGTTGATATCTTTCACAGTGTCCCCTGTGTACAGATTCATCTCATCACATATCAAGGGCTCTGAAACTGCTGCTCTGTTCTTGATTGAACATTATTAGGCCATTGTCAGATTTCAGGCATCAGGTGTTGTTTAGAAAGACTTTTAATGTCTTACAGCTCCCCTTGTGTCTTGCCCTTTTCCCCTGATATTTTTAAAACAACAAAGAAGAAAAGGATGTTGGGTGAGGAATCACTATACTCTTACTATCAGAATAGTTTCTGCCTGTTGTTTTCAATTTTTCCACTTTCTTTCTGGGCCTTGGCATCCATCCATTTTGAGATCCTTCTGATACTAGCAGAGATCCTTTCACAACTTTCTTTTCCTTTTGGTGCTGTGTTGTAAGCCCTTCTTCATATTGCTCTGTAGTCTTCCTCATGCTGTGTGGAGTGTGATTTTCTAAAAGGAGCTTTTCTTTCTGGGTTGGGTCTTCCCTGCATTTTCTTGTCAGGCCTTCTGTTGACAGGATGCATYGTGTGCAGGTGGTGGGTCATCTTTGACTTAGCCAACTCCTCTCTATTTTCCTTTGAGATTGTTTCCAGTGTTTCCATTTGACCAACAAAGCCACAGGGGAGTCTTGGCATTTTCTTTCCCTTTTAGATTGTTTCCTTAGAAGAAAATACCACAGTCTGTGATCATTTTAA